AAGTAAAGAGATTGAATTAGTAATTTTAAATCTTCCCATGGTAGAAGCCAGGCGGCTTCACCAGTGAATTTTATGAATAGTTAAAGAAATAATAAAATCCTTCACACAAGGATTAAGAGGAGTCAATTCTCCAAAAAGATATAACAATTCTTAATGTGTGTGAATAGAAAGTGGAAATATGTAAGGCAAAAACTGATAGAACTGAAAGGAAAAATAGACAAGTTCACCATTAGGGACCTCCACACCCTTCTATCCAGAACTGACAGATCCAGCAGGCAGAAAATCAGTAAACATAGTAAAAAACCGAACAGTACTATCAATCCACTGGATCTAATTGACATCCATAGACTACTTCACCAAACAAAACAGAGTACACATTCTTCTCAAGCTTACATGGGACATTTACCAAGGGAGAACACATTCAGGGCCATAAAACATATCTGAACAAATTTAAAAGAATAGAAATCATGCAAAGTATGCTCTCAGGCCATAATAAAATCAATGACAGAAAGATACCTGGAAGATCCCAAAATATTTGGAAATTGAACAAAGTACTTCTAAATAACACAAGTTGATAACTTATGTTCACACAAAAACATGCACATGACTGTTTGTGGTGGCTTTATTCATTATTGCCAAAAACTGGAAGCAGCCAAGATGTCCTTCAACAGGTGAATGGATAAACAAAATGTGGTAGATAGAGCCATGCAATGGAATATTATTCAGCAATGAAAGAAATGAGCTATTGGGCCACAAAAAGACATGGAGGAAACTTAGATGCATATTGCAGGCCGGGTACAGTGGCTCATGCCTGTAATCTTACCACTCTGGGAGGCCGAGACAGGAGAATTGCTTGAGCTTAGGAGTTCAAGACGAGCTTGAGCAAGAGTGAGACTCTGTCTCTACTAAAAATGCAAAATTTAGCCAAGGCGTGGTGCATGCCTGTAATTCTGGCTACTCAGGTGGCTGAGGCAGAAGGATCACTTGAGCCCAGGAGTTTGAGGTTGCTGTGAGCTATGATGACGCCACTGCATTCTACCTGGGGTGACAGAGCAAGACTCCATCTCAAAAAAAAATAAATAAAAAGCGTATTGAAAGTGGAAGAAGCCATTCTGAAAAGGCTACATACTGTATGATTACAACTGTATGACATTCTGGAAAGGACAATACTATACAGACAGTAAAAAGATCAGTGGCTGCCAGGGATTCAGGGGCTGGGGAGGGATGACTGGATGACACATAGGAGATTTTTAGGGCAGTGAAACTATTTTGTATAATGCTCTAGTGGTGCATACATGACATCATGCATTTATCAGAACCCTTAGAACTACACAACAGAGTGAATCTTAATTTAAACGGTGGACTTCAGTTAATAATGATGTGTCAGCGTTGGTTCATTAATTGTAGCAAGTGTAGCACACCAATGCAACATGGTAATGGGGAAAATGCGGCAAGTGGTGGAGAGGGGATATGGGAACTCTATCTACTCAATTTTTCTGTAAACTGAAAACTGTTCTAAAAAAATAAAGTCTACTAAAATAAAAAATTCATCCAACTGAACAGTTCACTCTATGATCAAAGCCAAACAATTTATTGGAATAATGTTAGATTTGCCACAACAGTACAGAGAGTTCCCATATACACACGCAACCGTTTTCCTCTATTATTAATGTCTTACCTTAGTGTGGTACAGTTGTCACGATTAATTAACCGGTCTCAATACATTCTTAGCTAGAGTCCATGGTTTTTTCAGATTTCCTTAGTTTTTACCTAATACCGTTTTTCTGTTTGAAGATACCACATTGTGTTTAGTTTCCACATCTCCCTAGCTCTTCTGACAGTTTCTCAGACTTGACTTGTTTTTGATGACCCTGATAGTTTTGACGAATACTCGTCAAGTCTTTCGTAGATTCCCCCTGTTGGGATATGGCTGATATTTTTCTTATGGTTAGACTGGGTTTTATGGGTTTGGGGAGGAAGACTATAGAAGTAAAGTGCCACTTTCATCACATCGTATCACGGGTACATACTATCAACATGACTCATCACTGAAGTGTGTGTCACGTTTCTCAGCTGTAAAGTTACTCTTCTTCCCCCTCTTTCCGTACTGTACTCTTTGGAAGAAAGTCACTATGTGCAGCCCACACTTAAGCCATGGGGAGTTATGTTCCACCTGCTTGGGAGCAAAGTATGTACAGAATTATTTGCAATCCTTCTGCATGGGAGATTTGTCTCTTCTTCTCCATTCATTTATTTTTTTCAATTGTTTATTCATATCAGTATGGACTTGGGTATAGTTATATTTTATTTTGGGTTACAGTCCAACACTACTTTAGTTTATTGCTCCAACTGTTCCAGCTTTGGCCATTCAAGCTCTCAGTTGGCTCTTTTGTCCTTTTGACATACCCCAATTATAATATCAGGTTTTTGTTCGGGGATTTGCTTTTTGTTTTTGTTTTGTTTTTTTCTTTAGCATTTTCTTACTTTCTGGCACTACTAGATGCTCCAGGCTCACTATACATTTCCTGCCCTAATCCTAGAAGCAGCCATCTGTCTAAGGAGCCCTGGTTCCTTTTATTGGAGAATGATATTAGGAACCAAGCTCTGGACACTGGGTTTTGCATATATTTTTAAAGCCCTCAGTTCCTGGACTTACCCCTTAGCT